GGGAACATTATTCTGCCTTCCACAGTTTCCAACCTCTTTCTAGTTGAATCCACAAGCCTCTTTTTGGTCTTAATTCTCTCCCACCTGTCCTGCGCACCCCCACCCCCACCCCCATTCACAATGCACAATTCTAAATGCCTCTTTTTTCCCCTAAACTCTTCTTTCTTGGATGTGAAAACATCAACATTTCCACTTCTCTCTCTTCTGATTATTTCCTTTTCTACCTGTTGCTTTCACTTCCTTCTTTCCACTCCCCAGTTATCAAGTCTCTGTCCCAGGCCCCATCAATAAAAAATGTCCTCAGAGGGCAATCTGTTTTCTATCTCCCCAAATCCACATCTCTTGCCATGACTTTCCATAGCTTTAATACTATTTCTAATTACCAACTCATAAAGATAACTGCTATTACTTCAATTTCAGGAGTTTCCACGTACAAATTAATCATTGTACCCTTATTTCTTCAATTATTTCCTATTTTGTCAATGGTTTCTTATGTTCTTTATTGTCATCTTTATTTCTTATCTCCTGTGATATTTTCTTCATACCTTTTCATTCAAATTAGGAACCCCATTCTCTGACTTCTTCATTTGAAATATGAGCTTGCCACTTATTCACTTATGTTACTGGTTCAAAGTCCACATGTCTGACACTCTAATAGGTCAAACTCAAAATGTCAGAGTTTGGAATGAGAAAAACTTTATTGATCAATAAGGTACCAGCTGAAAAGATGGGAGTGCTAGCAGTTTCTCAAATCCATCTTTTAAAATTAGAGGTTAGGTCAAGGGAAAAGAAAATGGGAGGGGCTGTTTTTGTACAAACTGGAACCCCAAGCAGAATTCCTCTAGTGATCAGTGTGTCTAAAGAGCAGCCACTGGCCTAAAGGCCTTGGGCACAGTGCAGGCTGGACTCAGATGGAGTCAAAGAGACCTAGCATTTCACTCTGTTGCAAATACAAAAAAATTGACCTCTTCACATTAAAACACACACAACAATTTCCTTACATGTATACTTATGTGAATTTAAAAATAATAGATAACATTTATTATGTACATAGATATCACTGTATATGTATTACATACCAAGCATTTTTAATGGATTACCTAATATAATCATAATAACCCTATATTAATGACAAAGAAAGAAATTGAGATCAGAGATGTCAAGTAATTTGCCCATGGTCAAGAAGTAGTAAGTGGTAAATATTGCTAAAAGGTTGCTGTCACTATTTAGAACTGTGCAGACTCAGAACCGTCTCCTTTATTTTGGATGTCTGCCTCTCCCCATTACTTACCCTAAATGCTCATTGATGCTATTCCTGACCTTGGAATGGCCTGTGTCAATGTAAGAAAAGGTCCAAACCTGTAGAGAATTTGTATGAGTTTATTTAAGCCAAACTGATAATTGCTAGCAAGCAAATATCTCAATGAATTGAGAAAATGCTCTGGAAAACAGCAGTTTTACCACTTATTTTATACATCAGAATCAAAGGAGAAGATGGAGGGAGTTACAAGAAATCCACTGGTGATAGATTAGGGAGGTGGGAAAAAGAAAAGTGGGAAATCTCTGAGACTGGATAAAAAGGAAGAGGGATAGACACGTACTTCTTTCAGATAGGTGGGTATAGAACAGTTCACAATGAACTTTTACAGCCCATAGAAATGGTGTGCGGGAGAACGAGGTAAGAATGAGGGGTTCTGTGATGTCCTGTTCTGGTGGGAAACTGTGACCTGAGAGGTCTGGAGTCATAGTCAGGGGTCTATGCTTCTCTGTAATCGACTGTACAGAACCTCTCCTCCCACCCACCCCTTCACACAGGACCCAGGCAACTGCTAGCCTATTTTCTGTCACTATTTTAGTTGCATCACTGGTTAAGTTTTTGAAATTTAAACTAACCTTCCATTTCTGAAATAAACTCACCTTAATCATTACACATTAGCTCTCTTACATATTTCTGTATTCATTTACCTAACATTTAGCTTAGGATTTTTGCATCTGTTTGTAAATGGAAATTTGGACTGCAAATTTTCCTCCTACTAATGCCCTTGTCATACTTTGATATCAGGGTTACCCTGGCCTCAAAAAGTGGGCTGGAGGGTGTTTTCCATTCTCCTCTTTTCTATTCTCTAGAAGAATTTGTGTAAAATAGATGTTATTTTTTCCTTATTTGGTTTGAATCAACCAGCAAAACCAACTGACCTAGAGTTTTCTTTGTGGGAAGGTTATTAATTTTAAAATACATATAGAACTATTCACATCATGTTTCTTCTTTGCCGATTTTGTATATTTTCTTTTCACTGAAATATGACATTAAGCATGAAGCTTGATTTCTGACAAATGCACAATTTATTGATGTAAAGTTTATGTCCCTGTTTTAAAATATCTGTGGGCTGTTAATGATATCCTTTTATTCCTGATATTGGGTATTTAAGCTTACTCTGTATTTCTTTGCTATTGCTCACAGTGCTGGTGGCTGGGGGTGAGTTATAAACTTGTCATTTCAAAGAACCAAGTTTTATCTTTGTTGATCTTCTCTATTTTACGTTAGTTTTCTATTTTACTTGTTGCTGTTCTTATTTTTTGTCTTTTTATTTTCTTTAGGTGTTAAGTTCATTTTATAACTTTTTATTATAGATGTTCAGTTCATTGCCTTACAGCTTTTCTTCATCATATATATTTGGGTAGAATTTCCTTTTAGAATGGGTTAAATGTATTTCATAAATTTTCAGAACATTCACTACAAAATATGTTCTAATTTCCATTGTGATTTCTTCTTTGACCCACCAGTTGTTAGGATGTATAGTTGTTAATCTACAGGCATCCTAAGCATATTTTTATTACTGACTTCTAGTCTAATTTCTTAGTAGTCAAAGGACTTACTTTGTGTGAACTTGATTTGTTGGAACTTGCAGCTATTTGCTTTTAAATGCTTGACTTTTTATAATGATCCATACATGTTTGAAAGCAATGTGTATTCTACAGTTTCAGGATACAGTATTTATACGCATGACAATTAGGTCAAATATGTAAATTCTGTTCAATCTTGCATTATCTTTATAAATTATTTTCTCTGTTGTATCTGAAAAAGGTATGTTAAAATTTCTTCATGGCCCTGGCTGGAGTGGTTCAGGGGGTTGGGTGTCCTTCCTCAAACTGAAAGGTGGCCACTTCACTTCCTGGTCCGCAGACACGCCTGGGTTGCAGGCCAGGTCCCCGGTTGGTGGGGTGGAAAAGGCAACCAATCCATGTCCTCTCACACATCAATGTTTCTCTCCCTCTCTTTTTCCCTTCCTTTCCCTCTCTAAAAATAATAAAATATTTTTTAAAAATCTGAAAGTTTCATTAACTTTGTGACAAAACATAAGAGATACAATTCCTCTTAGTCCTCAATACACATTTACTATCCTTTGCCAAAAGCAGAGAATAAAATTATGGTGTCAGAGCTTCAGAAATCCACCTGATGCAGCTGTCCTCACATTGCTACTTGTTTATATTTAGGAAATAATGAAGTAACAAAAAATGACCCTGAAGTTTTAAGTCTAAAACATACCCAATATGAAACAGTCATTATGATCAGATGTTCGAATTCCAAATACCTTCCTTACTTTTATTCCTTTGTTAGAAAGTGAAACCAAGCTACTCCAACCCCCTGTAGTTTGTGCTAAATAATGTGCAATCCATGAGGGCCGCAGATCCTGTCTGTCCTCTTCAACACTGTACATGAAACCCTGAAACGTCCTGCACAGTGCCAGGTATAAAAGAGACACTCAATAAATAAACACCTGTGCAATGAAGAACAAAGAAGTACAAGAAAAACCAGTAATCTGGGGAAAGGGATGAGGCGTGGGAGTGGGCTACATAGAACAGAACAAGTAAAAGTGAAATACTTGTATAAAGTCATTCAGTGTCATATCAGATGAAATTTAAGTAGAACAATACTTACACCATTTTTATTTAATACTTATACCATATGTAATGGCTTCACTAAGCCTTAAATTCCAAAATAATTCCTAATAATTTAAAAGCAGCATTGAAGAATAATTATTAAAAGCTCATTAACTTGTTACTATTGTATAAAAAAAAACTTGTAAAGGTTTACATAATAAACTCATTTTGGTAAAAAGATACATAAATTTAAAAATTCTGCAAAATCATAGGAAACTATTAACAGTGGTTTTGTCTAGGAAGGTCTGGAGTGCCTAATACAGAAACATGGAACTTTTAATTTTATGTGCTTTTGCACTGTTTAACTTTTATATTTTATAAATAAGATATATTTTATAATAAAATTCATATAGAGAAAATGTCCAATTTGTAAATATTTTTGAAACTCAGATAGAAATTATAATCTCAAGAATATATCTATGACTGATAACACTGTTTGAAGTTTGCATGTCCTATTCTCTTTTTACTAAAATGTAAAAAGTAGACAATGAAACAGACTAAGACATAAGAAAATGAGTCACACATCAGTCTGCTTCAACGCAGGAAAAAATACTCATACTTCACAAAGAAAATTTTCCAAAAGCTGAAATCACAAACATCTACAGTGGTACCTCAGTACCTGTTGTTAATTCATTCCAGAACTCAGGAGGAGTGCCGAGCAAACCACAAGTGATGAAGCATTTCCTCTTGCAGCGTGACTGGTCGTGACTCACACCAGTTCTATCCAGCGCGACCAGTCCTGAGCAAGCACTGAGTGCTGAAACATTTTTCTCATCAAAATGCGACGAATGCCAGGTTTGATGAATGGTGAAGCCGACGATTACCGAGGTATGACTGTTATTTCCTGGTTTCTGTTAACCATTATCAGTGATCTTTGTTATCACTAAACATATGTTCAAATTTAGAGTTTTTCAATTTTCTAAAAATGAGAACTATTATATAGACTAGTTGAACCAGGTACATAACAGACCCCAAAACAAACAAAACCTTAGGTGCTCATTCTCGTAACATTCTACAAATCGTTTTACATAAAAAAAAAAGACCTCACTAAAGACATCCTAAGTACAGGACTATCAGAGGATTTTATTATAGGTGGATTGGCCATAAAATTATAAACTGTCATTTTAGCTTTCAGTCACTTTTTTACTGTTGATATACTTAACTATGAAATTTAAAAAGATATGGTTTTCAAATGATGGTATATATATATGAGAAGGTTAGTAATAACTAACATTCTAAAATATACATGTCAGTGGAAAAGCTTTCAAATGAATGCAATTTCAGTATCATTTTGAATAGATTTAAATTATATCCATTTTAGAACTAGTAACAGTATTCTTTGATAGTGGCTCCCTATAAGATATTGTATTGGAAATCTGTAAATTAAGCAATTGTTTCCTACGATATGCATCATTTTCCTGGTCTGCATATTCATCCACAGATTTCCTTATGCAGTTCTTTAATTCGTCAATTCCTTCTCCAGTAACTGCAGAGATGGGGATGATATGTTGGAACTCCACCGTCCTCTCTGGAATCATGTGTTTTTCAAATAAATGCAGAAAGTCTGAAACAAAATCCACAAAACTAGGATGATTTTCATTGTCTTTGAAAGTAAGTTAAAACTGGACTTCCAGTTAAGATGGCAGAACAGGCATACATGGTTTGCCTCTTTGCACAACCACATCAAAATGACGACTAAAATATAGCATCACTCAGAACTGTCAGAAATCGAGTTGAATGGAAGTCTGGCAACTACAGAATTAAAGAAACCACATCCATCCAGACTGGCCACAGATGCAGAACAGGCTGATCTCTCATCCATGAGTAGTGGATAAAAATTTGGGAGGGATATCTCAGGAGCGAGGAATCCCAGTCCTACACCAGGTCCCTCGGCCCAGGGTTCCAGTGCTGGAAAGATAAGCCCCCACAACTTCTGGCTGCAAATACCAGTGGAGATTGAGTTGGTGGAAGAAGATCCTGGAGCCCTAAACAGTTCCCCTTAAAAGAACCCACACACACAGACTCACTTTCATAGACTCACTTACTCTGAGCTCCAGATCCAGGGTAGTAGCCTGAAAGGAACCAGTGGCATACAGGGAGGAACTGAAGTATCTGGCATCAAGGCAAGTAGAGGCTATTGTCCCTTTTCTAAACCTTCCCCCACAGAGCTGGCAAGCTGGTGCCATATCTGAGACTCCATCAAACTGGATAACACTGTTTGATGCCCCCTTTTAAATCCCCAGAGACTCTGCCCCACCCAACTTATGAGCACACCCAAGCTGCTTTTCCCTGTGAAGGACTGGTCCTGGCTCATGCTGCACAACTTCATAAAACCTCTCAAACAAGCAGCAGCTGGCCTTGGTGAGCCCCAGGCCTGGCACTAGCAGCAGCCAGCCTAGATTCACTGCTTAGCTTTACCTGGGAATCTCCAAGCCCAGCACATGTAGCAGCTATTTCAGATTGCTTTGTAGCTCAGGCAGGGTGGCCCTAGGGCAAAAGAGGTGGGGGCTGACCTTGGCCTGCACTACCCAGAGAAACCCCAGGGCCAGTGCACCCAGTGGACAGCTACAGACCACATTGGAGTACCACCAACCTGCCGCTGCACAGCTGAGCTGATCCTCAACAGAGGGCAGAGATTAGTGGTTAAGTGGTCACAGCCAATCCTTGCCACTGACTGGCCTCCCATTGATCTGCTGACAGCAACAAAGGTTCAAGAGGAAGGCGTACTCAGCCCACACAAAGGGTGTACCTTTATAGGGGAGGTTGTGCCACCGAACCCTAGAGGACACCTACAATCTTAGTCCACACTACCAAGACACAGAGTCAAAGCAGCTCTACCTAATACATAGAAACAGAGTAGCTGCCAGAACGAGGAAACAAAGAAAACATGGTTCAAGTGAAAAACAGATCAAAACTCCAGAAAAAGAGCTAAATGAAACAGAGATAAGCAATCTATCAGATGCAGAGTTCAAAACAATGGTTACAAGGATGCTCAAGGAACTTACTGAGGACCTCAGCAGCATAGAAGTGATCCAGTCAGAAACAAAAGATACATTAATTGCAATAAAAAGAACAATTTATAGGGAAACAACAGTAGAGTGGATGAAGCTGAGAACAAATCAATGATTTGGAACATAAGGAAGCAAAAAACAAGCAATCAGAACAAGAAGGAAAAGAATCTAAAAAATGAGGAAAGTATAAGCAGCCTCTGGGACAACTTCAAGAGGTCTAACAATTGCATCAGAAGGAGAAGAGAAAGAGCAAGAAATTGGGTATCTAGTTGAAAAAATAATGAAAGAAAACTTCTCTGATTTGGTGAAGGAAATAGACATGCAAGTCCCAAACAAGATGGATGCAGGGAAGCCCACTCTAAGACACATCATAATTAAAACGCCAAATGTTAAAGATAAAGAAGACTCTTAAAAGCAGCGAAGGAAAAGCAGTTAGTTACCTACACATGAGTTCCCATAAGACTGTCAATTGATTTCTTAAAAGAAACTCTACAGGCAAAAGGAACTGGCAAGAAATATTCAAAGTGATGAAAAGTGGAGACCTATAGTCTAGATTGCTCTACACAGAAAAGCTATCATTTAGAATCAAAGGGCAGATAAGGAACTTCCCAGACAAGAAAAAACTAAAGGAGTTCTAAACCATTATTATATGAAATGTTAAAGGGACTTATTTAGAAAAAGAAGATCAAAACTATGAACAGAAAAATGGCAATAAATATATAGGTATCAACAACTGAAGCTAAAAAACAAACTAAGCACACAAGAACAACAGAGACAGAATCATGGACACAGAGAGTGTTTTGATGGTTGCCAGATGGGAGGGACATGTGGGGGAATGGGTGAAAAGGTGAGGGGATTAAGGAGTATAAATTGGTAGACACAGAATAGCCATGGGGATGTAAAATACAGTATAGGAAATGGAGCAGCCTAAGAAGTAGCCAAAGAACTTACACACATGACCCATGCACATGAACAATGGTTGGGGGGATTGCCTGAGGGAGTGTGGTGTGCTGGTGGAGGGGGAAAGGGGGAGAAATCAGAACTGCAATAGCATCATCAATAAAATTTAATTTAAAAAAAGTAAGTCAAAACTATGTTAAAGGTTTGATTTGTGAACCAAGGAACTGAAAACTTAGCAGTTTTAATTTTTTCCATTTCTAATAAATTCTCAGAACCCTTGGTTTTTACTACTGACAATGGTCAACGTTCTTGGCACATGTTAGATACTTAGTAAATATTTGTTGAAGATATTTTAAACCAAATTAAGTATAAATTAGAGAATCACAGAAGATGATTTACCTACAGAAGCAAGTTGCTTTGGCAGGGTTAGGTTTGATAAAATGAGGCAACATAGATTGCACAAAAGAACCTTTCTACAAAAATAATATCATTTGTGATTTGGAATTCTCTAGCTTGCTGCAGTACACGGATGGTCCTTAATTGCCCTAAAGTATAGGCTTATCATCATTGGTACAAGGAGCCCTACTAAACTGAAAAAGGTGTGGGGTAGTTCAAGGGGAGATCATTTCAGACCAGTCCATTCTATTACTGACTGCACAGGGGCTGAGAGCTGCTATATTACATTTTCCTCCCCCCTGGCCCCAAGGCAATGGGATGAGGGATGGCCTACTGATGAGATGGGCTAACACTGATATGAACTGGAAAGGCAGGGCTGAAAGAGAATGGACAAGCTAACGTGGAGCTTGGTTTCTAAGATTCATATGCCCCAAGGAGTCCAGAGAGGTTAATTCAGGAATTCTCACTGATGGGACTGTATTTTGTTTTTTGACAGTCCAAAATAGCCACAAACTCTTGAGTTACTCTCCCTTCTGGTACCTCTTCTGAAATGCCCTTTCCTGTAAAACGAACCAGCAAATAGATCTAATGGGCTCATAAAGCAAATGACATTAAAAAATAAAGACTATTTACTAATTCCAGGGAGTATTCATATCCCAAAAGTAACTCAGTAACTCAAGGGCAGCTCCTATATGTAAATTATAATGGGAACATATTTTTGAGGGGAGAAAGAACTTTCCCTCATTTGTGTAGCAGCTCCTCCAGACTCAGAGAAACAGAAGCATCATCATCACTGAAGGACAGAGTTCCACGGAGCCCAATGTTCAAGACAGTGGAAAGTCCCTTTAAGTTCCTTTACACGAAGTGGTTCATTTAGGAACAAATTTCAAACAAATAAATCCTTTTGGAGTAACAGCATCATTTTTCTGTGTTATACATACACAGATACATGTACTCAAGGTTTTTTTAGAGGATTAGTGCTCTTCAAAGATCCAACGCAGCTGACATTACAAAGAGACACACCTCAACGGTTAGCTGTTTTTACATTTAAGGTGTACCAGGGGAACGAAGGTCTAGAACCTGTGAAATATGTTGAAATGAAAGACTTGACAGGTAGATGCTGACTTTTGCCTCTTCTGATCCAAATCCCATTAGCTTATTAGGGACTCCGTTTAAGTTTTACTTCTTCATGAAACCTGGCCTTTTCAGCTCAAATTATCTTTTTCTTTCTTGTCACCTCTCTATATTTACATCACACATTCTGAAACTTGGTAAGTACTACATTACAATGTTATTTAAATGCTTCATATGGTATGGATTCTTGAAACATATGTTTTTTAAGAGTAACAATGTTAGTTTTCTTTTCCACTGATTACACCAGTTAAAGCACTCTGCACTTACTAGGTATTCGTTAAACTGGCATTAAAGGAATGAACAGATTTTACCTTTAGGATTCTGGAGTTGGTCCATCAGCACATGGAATTTATTTTGGGCACCTGGTAAGTCCATTTTATTTACTGCCAGGAGTGCAGGTTTTCTCTGAAGTTCCTCTTTGTACAATTCTAGCTCCTTTAAATAAAAAAAAGAAAAACAAATAATTTCTTTATTTAAATCCTCACTGGAAGATATATCCCTTGATTCCAGAGAGAAGAAGAAAGAGAGGGAGACAGGGAGAGGGAGGGAGACAGACACACAGACAGGCACTGGTTCCCCCCTGCACGTGCCCCAACTGGGGGTCGAATCCATAACCTAGGTATGTGCCCTGACTGGGGATCAAATCTATGAGCTTTCGGTTTACAGGATGATGCTCCAACCAACTGAGCCACACTGGCCAGGCTGAAAAACCAAATAATTTTATTAAAATACCTGTATAGAGTATCTGTTTGGTAGTATCTTTCTTTACCGTGTTGGCCTGTATAATCTAGAGCTCAGTCATATCTCCGAAATGCAGTAAATCCCAACAACCACAAAGTTAATCAGCAAAGGAAACTCAGAAAATGTTGAATAGTTAGGTCACATGTTAATATATTTTAACTCATATGACATTCTCGAAACAACTGTGATTTGTACCTCGAATCAAATACAAACAACTGGACTTCTATTTTTTTTAAGGTTTTATTTATTTTCTTTAGAGAGAGGGGAATGGAGGGAGAAAGAATGGGAGAGAAACATTGATGTGCAAGAGAAACACTGATTGATCGCCTGTAACACACCCACAACAGGGGACCTGGTCTGCAACCCAGGCATGAGCCCTGACTGGGAATCAAACCCAAGACTTTTCAGTTCACAGCTGGTGCTCAACCCACTATGAGCTACACCAGCTAGGGTCAAATATCTGGACTTCTATTAAGCACACACATACAATTCAAAAGTGACTAGAAAAAAAATCTTCGTAACTGTGGATTAGTGTATGTGTGTATGTATGTATACATACACACACACATATTTACTTGTTTACTTATCTGATATCAAGAAGCATAAGCAATAGAAAAAATAGACAAATGGGAATTCATGAAAATGTAAAATTCTGTGTTGCAAAAGATATCATAAAGAAAGTGGAAAGACAACTGGCAGAACAGGAGAAAATATTTGCAAATCATGTATCTCATAAGGGATTTGTATCCAAAATATATCCAAAACATAACAAACTCTTACAGTTTGACAATAAAAAGAAAAATAACTCAATTAAAAAATAGGCAAAGAATCTAAACAGGCATTTCTCCAAAGACAACAAATGGCTAATAAGCACTTGGAAAGACAATCATCATCATCACTCACTAGAGAAAGGCAAATCAAAACAACAATGAAACACCACGTCATTCCCACGAGGGTGGCTAAAATAAGAAGATAGACAATAACCAGTGTTGACATTAATGTGGAAAAACTGGAACCCTCATATATTGCAAGTAGAACTGTAAAACAGTGCAACAGTGCACCCAGTCTGGAAAACAGTTTGGCAGTTCCTCAAAATGTTAAACACAGAGCTACCATAGTATCTAGCGATTGCACTCCTAGGTATATACTCAATAGAAATGAAAACCAGTCCATACAAAAACCTGTGCACAAATGCTCACAGCAGTATTATTCACAATAGGCAAAAAGTGGCAAAGAAAAGAGGATATACAAAGTCCTGGAGGTAGGAAACATTATCCCACTGTGTTAGAGGGAGATCACGGGGCCGGGCATGGAATGTGAGGGGGCAGGAGGAAAAAGAGATGGACTGCTAGGCAGGAGCCCAGCACTGCCAGACCTCATAAACCACGTTCAGGTTAGACTTCAACCAACAACAATGGGGCACCATTCAAGTGTTTTAAGCAGGGAACAAACATCAGCCTGGTTCTTTTACAAAGCTTACTGTGGCTGTCACAAAAAAAATGGACTGCACAGAAATGAAACTGGAAGCAAGAGACCACACAGGAGGGACTCACAACATTCTAATGAGAAGGGCTGATGATCATACAGTGGGAACGAAGAGAAGCAGATGGACTTCAATGAGACTCAGGATATGAACCTGACAGGGCTCGACACCAGTGGTGAGAAAGGGAGAACCAAGACCACCACCCAGGTTTCCAGCTTCCATACTCAATAAAGTTCTGGAGGAGGCTGGAGAGTTTGAAAAAAAAAGAGTTCAGTTTTACACATATTAAGTCTGAGAAGTTAATGGGATACCTAATCAAAGGTGTCTATGAGGCAACTGGTCTAACACTTAACCAAAAGATCTGGGTATCAGACACAGTCACTGGTGTATTTACTGTAACTGAAAGCTAATTAAGTAATAACAGGAAAGAATATAAATAATAGACTGAGAAATAGTCTAAGAAGTAGGAATAAAAGTCAAGCAAGATAAAGTCTAAGAAGTATGCAATAAGGAGGGTTTTATTGGTTGCAATAGTTTGAGGAGCAGGGTAATATTGAAAAACTGAAACAAGATTAGAAAATTCTTTAACATCAAAGGTTCAAAAAGTAGAGGTGGAATATATATTTATTTTACTTATCATCTACTATTTCATACAGTCTTATATGCCTATATTAGACCAAATGCAGCACATAGTAAAACTGAAACAGAAACCTACTTTTGTCAGCAGTATTATGGTTTCAAAAGCAGTTCTGTATTGAGTTTTGGAAGTAAGCTGAAATCCAAAAACATCAACCTAAAAAAAAAAAAAGAGGGAAAGAAACAGCCTTTAACACACGTTAGCTGTACATTTACTTTGAAATGTTTTATTGTCTCAAGCTAAAAATAATTTCTCAATCTATACTCTACTGGTGATTTAGTAATTCAAAATAAATAAGAGAAACTGAAGTGTCAAGATAACTATAATTACTCTGATAAAGTCACAACCATTAATAAAATGAAAAACGAGTATAGATAAGACAATTTATATGAATATGTACATCTCATAAACAGTTGACCCTTGAACAATGTGGGGGTTAGGGGCACCAACATCTGCCCTACTCAGCACAGTTGAAAATCCGTGTATAGTTTTTCCCTCCCCCAAAACTTAATTACAGCCCCTCAGTATTTGTGGGGGATTAGGATATTAGTTCTAGGACCCCTACAAGGATACCAAGATATGTGGATGGTAGTTCCTATATGTAAAATGGAATGTTGTCCACGCCAGTGTGGCTCAGTTGGTTGAGCGCTGGCCCATAAACTGAAAGGTTGCAGGTTCAATTCCCAGTCAGGACACGTGCCTAGGCTGAGCGTTTGATCCTGGTTGGAGCGGGTTCAGTCCTGCTTGGGGCACCTGCGAGGGACAACTGATTGACCTTTCTCTCTCATATTGATGTTACTCTCCCTCTCTCTAAAATCAATAAATACATTAAAAACACTTAAATGGTGTAGATGAATGCATACAGCAGGCCTCAACATCAGCAGACTCCCAACACTGGATCAAAAACAGTACAGGTATTTATCTTAAAAAATCCTCATGTAAGTGGACCTGCACAGTTTGAACCCATGTTGTTTGAGGGTCAGCTGTATAACTCTAGCACCACCAATAAAGCAGGAAAAAGACGCCATATAACATGGACTATGTTGAAAATCTTAAGGAATTAAACCTTGACAAGTACAGCCAAAATTACATCTGATATAGTAAGTAATGCCATTTCTACTCCCTGTTACGTAGATCATTTACTGTATTTGACTCCCATTTACACAGACTCAATGGAGTCACATATGTTACCACTTTAAACATATAGACAGTTTCTAGGAAAACTAAATTCATTGATTTTTCACATTCAGTTGAACGGTGCATTGATATACATATGACTTACAACAAAAAGCAGCTGTTTAGTTCTTTCTATATGCTTGAGGAATTTGTGGCCCATTCCTTTGTTCATATGTGCTCCTTCTATTAAACCAGGAAGATCAGCTACTGATATCTAATACAAAGTTAAATGTTTGATAAGAAAAGAAAAATACATAAAAACTCTAAGTACAATTACATCCAAAAATATTCATGGTATTTCAAATATAAACAGTTCCTGATCTGTGATTACCATTGCATCCTTATAAAGCCAAGATACCTTTACAACAGATCAAAATCCTTTGTTATCAGAAATTAGTCCCATTTTTAATTATTAATCTAACAATCTAGAACTTTAGGGATTAGTTATTAATCACAAAATTCTATTAAGAATTCTATAAATTATATTATTTAATATGAACTTTTCAGAGTATTTCAACTTTCTGAATTTTTAAGTTTAAGGATATTAAGTCAACTGCTATTTACTTAGTAAATTCTATAGTTTTAAGTTTTCAATTCTATATGTAGTTAATGTTCCTTTTCTGTTCATATTCCACCAGGAGGACTACCGACCTCCTGGTGGAATATGAACAGGATAAGTTAGTGTTCCTATGCTCCTTTGGAGATGATAAGCATTATTAACCATTATTCTGCACTCGTAGTTTTCAAACCTCGCTGTGCACGATAATCAGTTGTGTAAACTACAGTTACTCAGGCCCTACCCTTAAGGGATTTGGTTTCAAATCTCTGGGGCACGGGCTTCATTTATCATTGCTATTCTTAAGCCACCAATATAATTCTGATGTATAGTAAGGGATGAGAAGCACTGTTCTATATGCACTGCTTGTGTGAATAAAGATTTCAGAGGTTTAAAGGAAGTATGGCTATGTGACAAAGGAGCGTACACTACAGAGGTCTCATGTCCTCAAATTTTGTTTGAAGGTTCTCTACTAATTTCCCTTAAAAATTATAAATAATGCCATTGCCAAGTAGCTTAGCTGGTTAGCGTGTTGTCCAGATACACTAAGGTTACGGGTTCAATCCCTGGTCAGGGCACATACAAGAAGCAACCAATGAATGCACGAATAAGTGGAAAAACAAATCAATGTCTGTCTGTCTCTCTTCCCCTGTTCTTCCTTGTCTCTCTAAAACTCAATTTTAAAATATTTTTAAATCATAATATTCTCTTTTTCACTAAATATTGTATACACAATTTTACTTATTAATATTCTATATAATTGTTGAAGTTTAATTAACTGTCACTGTTATGCCACTGATATAAATGAGTATAATTCCTGTATCTTATTTCTTTTGAATTATGTCAATAGATTATATGAAACCACACTGATACATCATCACCACTAGTCCATTAGGCTTCCCTCTTGGTACTGCACATTCTATGAGTTTGGACAAATGTATAACACCATATGCAGCATTACAGAATTGTGCGGAATAGTTTCACTGCCCTAAACATGTACTGTGCTCTATTATTCCCTTCCTTCCTCCCCATCCTCAGCAACCACTGATTTTTTTCCCTATCTCCACAGTTTTGCCTTTTTTCTAGAATCTCATATCGTTAGAATCATACAGCAAGCAACCATTTCAGATTGGCTTCTTCTACTTAGTAATATGCATTTAAGGTTCCTCTGTGTCTTCTCATAGCTTATGGCACATTTCCGTTTAGTGCTGAATAATATTCCATTTCCTGGATATACCACAGTTTATCCATTCACCTACTGCAGGACATCTAGGTTGATTCCAGATTTTGGCACATACTAACAAAGATGCTACAAATGTGTGAGTGCAGGCTTCGGTTTGCACATAAGTTTTCAACTCATTTGGGTAAATGCTAAGGAACATCATTGCTAATTGTACATTACATATTTTTGTTTTAGTTTAATTACTAAAAAGATCTACAGTTCTTCCTTATGAAGGAAAAACAAATTTTAATAGATAAAGCCAGAATCCCACTCAATTAAAAGTTTTAAAAAGAGAAAGTTGGAATAAAATCATTTACATGAACTTTAGAAAATAATTTTACTTAACAAAAATCAATAATCAAATTGGAAACAAATACAAACTTGCAACGAGAATGAACAGAGATTAAGGAAATAAAGAAGATATGTTCTAGCCCTGGCTGGCGTAGCTCAGTGGATTGAGCACGGGCTGGGAACCAAAGTGTCCCAGGTTCAATTCCCAGCCAGGGTACATTCCTGGGTTGCAGGCCATAACCCCCAGCAACCGCACATTGATGTTTCTCTCTATCTATGTCCCTCCCTTCCCTCTCTAAAAATAAATATAAATAAATAAAATCTTAAAAAAAAAAAAAAGAAGAAGATATGTTCTGCCCTGGCTGGTGTGGCTCAGTGGACTGAGTGCCAACCTGCAAACCAATGGGTCACAGGTTCGATTCCCAGTCAGGGCACATGACTGGGTTGTGGGCCAGGTCCCCCATTGGAGGCACCTGAGTGGCAACCACACACTGATGTTTCTCCTCCTCTCTTTCCCTCTGTCTAAAAATAAATAAATACATAAGATACGATGTTGTAAAGACAAAATGGACTTAAGGCTTTCTAAGAATAAGAAATTTCATTCTCACATGTGAGTAAAATCCCAGATGAGTGATGAGTGAAATCAAGCGTGGGCTATAAAACTGAAAGCAACAAATGAACAAGAACAATAAACAAAAACTCACAGACACACATGACAGTATGGTGGACAACAGAGGGAAAGGCGTAAGGTGCAGTAAAGGGTGAAAGGGGTCAAGTATATGGTGACAGAAGATCTGACTTTGGGTGATGGGCACACAATACAATATAAAGATCATGTATCATACAAATGTACACTTGGAAACTATACAATCTTATTAATCAATGATAGCCCAATACATTTTAAAAATATTAAAATAAATATTTTTAAAAGTTACATTCTCATGCAATATTCTATTAAGATAGTGTTCATTATTGATTTGATCACAGTTTTCACTTACTAAAAATAAAATCTTGAAACTGCCCCACCCCAACACCCCAGAAGCAGTCAAATATGAAGCCAGTACTTTTACTTCTAACCAAGGGTCTTATTCTAAAAACACCCACCTGTTTGAAATCTTTATACATAATCTTTCCAAGTTCAGGCTTTAATGTTGTAACTAAAAGAAAAAAGCCACAGTAAGTTGAGGCTAGAATAAAGACTGGTACTCTCAAAATTGTTTTAGCATTATGTATAAAATAAACATTTCCTTTGTGATGAATTCAGATTATGTTCACATTTGTTGAATGGAAGGTACAATTATCTTTGCTATTTACATTATCTTTGCTATTATACCTGGAAAAGGACCATGAAGATTTTTATAATAGTCATAGTCTAATCCAATTAATAGGCCTCAAAGTTCCTCTGTCACACCACGTGAAGAATCATGGGGAGCGGGAGGCAGAATTTAGGTTTCTGTCACCAGGTCTGATCTAGTCCCTTCTCATTCATTTTCCTCAGGCCTCATCAATCCTGCACTAGCCTCCTTCCTATGACTTTTTGCTTTTCTTCCTCTTTCCTTCTCAACAGTATCCTGTATTATAGCAACAAATACTGGCCTAATTTATAACAGTTAGTTAAAATAAACTCTGTAAGAGTGTAATTTTAGAATGGCTTAATTTTATTTTCTAGGTTAATGTCATTTTGTACCTTTTTCTTTAATGATGGCAGAGATCCTATCATATTCATTCACTGTTCTTAGTTTAAGCTTCCATTATATCTCATCTTGCTGCTACAACAGCCTACTAACTATTCTTCCCATATCCACTCATGTCCCACACTAATCCAGTTTCTGTATTATATGCAGAAATCTTTTTAAAGTAAATAATCATTTTATCCCTTGCTTAACAGGCTATCAACTGTTCTTAAGACATGAAGATCAAGTAGAACCTACGCGTCAGTAAGATGCAGTCTCTACCTACATCCCGGGCCTCATCTCGTCTCCTTCCTTCCCTGACCACGTTTTCTAGATACTCAAACCCACTGCCTGCCACCAGAAGGCCTTTGCGTACATGCTACTTCCTCTGACTGAAAGACCCTTCACCTGTACTATGTCACTGATTACCTCACATTTATTCTCTGAACCTCAGCCTGGCATCACACTTCCACAAAGAAGTCCAAAGCAGTCACCTATACTCTTTCATTGAACCGTATTATATTTCCTTGCATTCACTGGAGAGCTACGTGCCTTCCCGCTTTTTTGAGAATAGTTTGTATTCTCAGTAAAAGTCAGGATAGTATCTGTTTCTGCTTACCAGACTTTGTAACTCTAGAACCTACTACAGTTCCCAGAAAAATATACTTGCTATATTTTTGAGTGAAAGAACTCATCTCTACCTTCCTAGTATTTACCACTGTGCTTCACAAAGGACAGGTGCTCATAAAATTCTAACTAAACCAAATAAGTGATTATGTACCAGGAAAGTACACATAACAAAGTAAGTAGTAAGTACTAGAAACTCTGCTGAGGGGTAGAGAGGTTTCAGATTAATGGGAAATACATCTATTCTGCCAAGAGTTTTCAAACTAAGGCTACCCTCAGAGTTGTCATTTTATTCATACAAAAAGATTAGTCTTTAAAAATTCACCACCACACATTAAAATACAAAATAAATTATACCTACATGCATAATCTGCAACTGCAGGTTTTGCATGAGAAATCTGACTTAGCAAAGAGGATTTTCCAGCATTTGGGAATCTGAAATGAGAAAATTTATACATTACAGCAAATATCAGTACTATTAATACTTATTTATCTTTGAATTCTAAAAATTTTAAGAAGCAAACTTCTTGAGTATTTCTGGGATTAAAAATAGAGTATAAATTTAAAATAATTTTTGAAAAACTTGAGGAACAAAATATACTCATGAAATAGGTGAAGATAAATTCATACTGCCCTGACCAGTGTGGCACAGTTGGCTGGGCATTGTCCCACACAGTGAAAGGTCGCAGGTGTGATTCCTGGTCAGGGCACATTGCCTGGGTTACAGCTGGGGACACGGACAAAAAGCAACCAACCGATGTTTCTTTTAGACATCAACAGTACAAGTAGAACGCTATATACCTTTCTTCTCAGGTTCAGTTCTAAGATCAGCTTTGAGAACAGCAGTACCCGTGTTTTAGTTATGTATTTGTCTTTTAAGATTCAGTTCATTTCTGAAACCAGCTAAAAAAAATCTGCTTATGCTCATATTCACATGTAGTAACTTAAATAGCTGCCTCATTTAAAAGCACTAGAAACATGTTAAACATTATGCTTAAGAATCACGATGTGTTAATTACTGACTGTAATTTCAAGCCCATTTCTGAAAAGCTTAAGTGTTTCACTACAGTCGTGTCTAGTTAAGTTGGCAACATAAGGACCATGACAGACAGCAGCTACGGTTCATTCACTGAACGTTCACAAGTCCGAGGCATGTGTTGCGCTACAAATGCAGTATCTTACCAACAGTTTAAAATGCGGACTCTCCATTCACTATTAAAGATGAGTAAGTAAAAACTTAGAGAAACTGTACAACATATCCAAGACTAGCCAGCTGGCCTCCCGAGGATTTGAGATTCTAACCCAGATAGTCTCACCTGAGTTCCCGACCCCCACCCAACTTTTACTACTCAGCCTTTCGAGGGTCTTCTTGGTCTGTAAAGCTGTCTCCATGGAACTCGAAACTCATTTTTCTACCAAATGAGAAAGTCAATGGCTGGATTCTTAACTGTATCCATAAAACCCTATTAAACTGATAATGTTTGAAAAATATATGTTACAGAACCTATGACTCATAAATGTCATAACTATGTTTTACTGGGGAAAAAAAAAACATGCGAATGGCTAGTTTGAAAGTCAGGATCACATCTTCCCCTGTTACAACCTCAGCAGGAATGGGACCTCTGCAAACCCCAAATGCCTGCTGTAAGACTAGACAGGAGCAGCAAGGGTGATGGGCTGAGACTGAAGAGTCTGGTACAGAAGCAGTGAGGAAGATGAGAAGAGCCTAGAAAGCACCTATGGGAAGGCAAGGAATGGAATGGCAGTTTGGTGCTCAGTTTGACAGCAGTTTCCCCTACACCTTCCTTTGTCCTTCCGTCTGACAACTGTGTAACACTGTAGGGCCAGGGAGAGGAAGAGGGAGGGGAGGAGAAACGCAAAGTTGAAGTTTTCTCTCCCTAAATTTATCTACTCTCCATCACGCTATCTAGCTCTCTCCAATTGGCTGGGTACCAGCACTGCAAACCCAAAGCCACACAGCTTTGTTTCATGAAAAAGTGGAGGCTCATGGAACAGGACAACATTGTAAGGTTGTCTACTGTACTGAGAATGGACAGATCCTAAGCACAGCACAAATATCCAACTTGGTGCTCAACAGTGTGTAAGTCTGAGGAGCTGAGATTGTACTGGCCTTGAGCCATCTGATTAATGATACATCAATAGGTCTATTAATATTTGTAAGCATATCTTAACCATTTGTCCCTTCTTTTTATTTCCTTGAATACACTTTTAAAAATGTGGTTTGTTCAGATTTCTTATTTTATTCCTTAATATCTGGTAACATTCTTTTACCTTCTTGTATTACTGGATTTAATCTTTTTCTTTATTCATTTTCTAACATTTCACTGGCCTACTCAATTGCTATGACTGTTGGCAAATGCATATGAAGTAAATATGGAACTCTACGCTGACATCATGAAAATAACTACATTTTACAGCATCGTCTCTAAGTACACAAACCATGCACAAATTCCATAAACTAGAAATAATGCTGGCACCGAATTACCATTTATATTTATTTCCTATTTGTGAACTCTCTGGAAGTATAAAAATAAACATATGAATGATACTTACCCCACTAGACCTACATCAGCTATGAGTTTTAGGTCAAGGTGAATTATTCGTTTCTGGCCTTTCAATGGTAAGAAATTTGTAAGGAATTTACCACCAAGACCTCCTTCTGCTACCAAAATTCTATCTTTCTCTTTATCAAGTTCTCCTTAAAAAGAGAGATAAAGATACTTAGAGCCAAGATTAGTAAGTGGAGTTAATCACTAATGACATTTTTCTTTCAAAATAGATATCAGAAGTTTCTATTAAAAGCTTGTCCCTGGAAAAACCTTGTTAAGTGGTTGAGAGACTAGTTTATGTTTTAAAACCAAGTAAATATGCTAATATTTTAAAAATCTTAAATCTAGCAGTTAATACTGAACAACCTTTATAGATTTTTAAAAGTTCTTTTATAAATTAGCAGCTGAAATTGTTAACGTTTCTAAAAAATTCTGAAACTCAAGAGGTTCTATTCCCCATAGCTCCCAAACAGTTTAGAAAATATGCATACTTTTCACAACCTCAGGACCTACAGTACACTTACCTATAATTTTACCATTTTCATCAGTTACTGAAATACCCACAGGTACAGGAATTTCACAGTCTTTTCCTTTGGAGCCTTTCAGTGCACTAACCCTACCAAAAAAAAAGCTAAATTAAAATAAGGAAAACCCACAAAATTAAATGGCTTATGCTTCAAGCAAACATAATGGTCTATAAAGAGGACTATCAACCAATTATTCTAACAGAGATGTTACATGGCCAAATACTAGAGCAAAAATAAAATTATTTCTAATTATTCATTTGCACTTTAGACTCTCATATCCCAATAAAAATGATATTAAGTTATGATTTAAGTTATCAAGCTAACCACAAAAAGTCACTTTGTGGGAAGTTTTCAATTAGCAATAATTATGCCTCAGATAAACTTCATTGGCTACGATACAGCCACTGTGTGAATCTACCACCAAAAGACATTACAAATTATAATGAACTGATATAATGTACACCTGAAATGAAGAGATCATTGATAACTAGAAAAAATGAAAAATCAATGGAATAACAAAGCTTTTAAAAAACTGACCTCCAACGGGAGCACTTTAATTAGAGGGGGCTCATCTGGCTACTCTCAAATTACTCATGAGAGAATAAATTGGTACAAACTTCTAACTAGCAGATTCACTTCTGGGAATTTATCCTAAAACAAAATAACTGAACCACCATGTAAACTACTATACACACATGGGTGTGTGTTGCTTTGTTGAATGTAACAGTAAAAAACCAACTAATTACCTAAACAGATGAGTGACAACATAGAGTTATTTCCAATACTATGCAGACATTTTGAACAATCTTCTGGCACAGAAAAAAAGTTAAGTAAAAAGAGGAGCCTACAATATACTGTCCTCTCAGTTTTGTACCCTCAAACTATACAGACACAATTAAATTTGTGTAAACACACAGAAGAGTCTGAGAAAAGTCAAGAAAAGGTTAATAGTGGTTATCTGTGACTTTATAGATGGTTGACCTTTTATAAAACCTTTTTATTCCTGACCTCCATGATTCGGTCAGAATTCCCACACATGTGTAGGCTCTCATCATTTTCCATTTTTAACACATTCAATTAATGTCTACTCTCCCACTACACTACAGTAACTTCCTGAAGGGCAGGGAATATATTAGTTTAGATCATTATTATATCCTAGGCATGTAGTACAGTGGTTAGTACATAGTAGGTACTCAGTATTAGTTGAATGAATGACCTGGACTGACAGAAATGGATTAGAAATATACTCAAGAAAGATTTAAATAGAACATCTCTCTTACTGGGATGTGTGTCGCAATTTTTAGAATGTAGAGGCAAGATTTAATTTTCATTCTTATTTGTTACTAGTGGTGAACTTTCTATTAAAATATTTTATTAAAAACATTTCCACTTAAATTTCAAAAGAACTTTGGATAGTTCTTTTTAAAAAAATTAAAAAAAATTTTTTTTTATTGATTTATAGAGAAAGGGAAAGGAGAGAAAAACATCAACTTGTTGTTCCACTTACTTATGCACTCATTGGTTGATTCTTATACGTGCCCTGACAGGGAATGGAACCTCCAACCTTGGTGTATTGAGACAATGCTCTATCCAACTGAGCTACCTGGCCAGGGCCAGAACTTTGGGTAATTTTTTAAATAGCTAAAATAGTATTTGATAATTTTCATAGCTGAGCAAACATAAGCCCATTTTCTAGGAGATCATTTCATGAAGAAGAAAAGCAGTCTGATTTTTACTATACATTATTAGACATCTAAAATTAAAATCTTACACAGGTACCAATATTTTTAAAGTAGTGCTTAAACCAAGTCTTAAAAAGCCAATAGGGCCTTGCCAAATAATCAAGATGGGAAAAGACACATTGACAAACTGAATACACCTATGTATATCTAAATATGTGTGTGTATATGTGTGTATACAAACACACACACATATATGCACACACAAACACCCTAGATTAGAAGGGGAAAAGCTGTTTAAAGAGATAATAGTTATTTCTAGCCTAACACTGGCATAAGTGGGCTGGCATGTTGTAAAATAAAGACACTGTAGTCCAGATTGCGAAGGGCCTAACATGCTGTTAAGAGAGTTTGAAGATTATCTTAGAGTGATGGGAAACACTGAAGAATTTTAAATAGACAAGTGACATTAATACGTTGGTGTTTTAGAAAAACTACTCTAGGGACTTCCAGCAAGATGGAGGCATAGGTGGATGCACCATACCTCCACGCACAACCAAGATTAGAACAACAATTTAGAGGCAGAATAACACCCAGAACTGACAGAGAATTTATCTGAATGGAAGTCAGGCAGCCAAGAAGTTGAAGTAGACCCGTTCATCCAGACCGGTAGGAGGGGCGGAGAGGAGCAGCCGGTCGAGGGTTGCAGCACGGGTTGCAGCACGGGTCGCAGTGCAGAAAGCAGAGAGCAGTGGGCACATAAGGCAACAGGGAGCGCGTAAGGCATCCGGGGTGTGCAGGATCGCAGTGGGTGGACCCTGAGTATGCGAGCAGCAGCTGGCAGACCCAGTGAGGCACAAATGTGGACCAGGGCAGAGCGCGCAGCCCAGGATCCCAGGGAAGGGACTGAGGTCCCAGGAGAGTGGAGCTACCACCATTGTTCCCTCCGGCCCCCGCCCCCGCCCCCACATACAATGTCACAATGTAGCGACTGGGGTGCCCAGCCCTGGTGAACACCTAAGGCTCCGCCCCTCACAGTAACAGGAGCGACCAGACCAAGAGAGAGAGAGAGAGACATGTCTCAAACAGAAAAACAGATCAATGCCCCAGGGCTCATCCTTTTGAGCGACCAAGAGATAGCCAATCTATCAGATGCTCAGTTCAAAACACTGGTGATCTGGAAGCTCACAGAATTGGTTGATTTTGGGCGCAAATTACATGAAAAATGCAGGCTACCATAAAAGAGATGAAGGAAGATGCACGGAGAACCAATAGTGATGGGAAGGAAACTGGGACTCAAAACAATACAGTGGACCAGAAGGAAGAAAGAAACAACCAAACAGGAAAGAATGGAGAAATAAGAATTCAAAAAACGAGAAGCTTAGGAACCTCCAGGACATCTTTAAATGTTCCAACATCCGAATTATAGGGGTACCAGAAGAAGAAGAGGAAAAGCAACAGATTGAACATGTATTTGAACAAATAATAAAGGAGAACTTCCCCATTCTGGCAAAGGAAATAGGCTTCCAGGAAATCCAGGAAGCTCAGAGAACCCCAAAGAAGTTGGACCCAACAAGAAACACACCAAGGCACATCATAATTACATTAGCCAAGGTAAAAATGAAGGAGGGAATCCTAGAAGCAGCAAGAGATAAGGGGACAGTAACCTACAAAGGAGTTCCCATCAGACTGTCAGCTGATTTCTCAAAAGAGACCTTACAGGCAAGAAGGGGCTGGAAAGAAGTATTCCAAGTCATGAAAGGCAGGGACCTACATCCAAGATTGCTCTGTCCAACAAAGCTTTCATTTAGAATGGAAGGACAGATAAAGTGCTTCTCAGATAAGGTCAAGTTAAAGGAGTTCATCATCACCAAGCCCTTATTTTATGAAATGTTAAAGGGACTTATCTAAGAAAAGATGATAAAGAAAAAGCATGTATAGTAAAAGGACAGCAAACTCACAATTATTACCAACGACACCTAAAGCAAAACCAAAAGAAACTAAGCAAACAACTAGAACAGGAACAGAACCACAGAAATGGAGATCACATGGAGGGTTAGCAACAGGGGAGTGGGAGGAGGAGAGAGGGGGGAAGGTACAGGGAATAAGTAGCACAGATTGCAGGTTGAAAATAGATAGGGGGAGGGTAAGAATAGTACGGGAAATGTAGAAGCTAAAGAACTTATGACACATGGACATGACTAAAGGGGGGATATGGGTGGGGGAGGGTGTACAGGGTGGAAGGGAGTGAAGGGGGGAAAATGGGACAACTGTAATAGCATAATCAATAAAATATATTAAAAAACACTCTAGAAATAATGGAATAAAGAATGGACTGAGGGTGATGACTGAGACTGGGGTCAGCAGACCAAATTGGACAATACTGCAATATTTCAGAAATAATGATGGTCTGAATGAAAGTCTGGCCTGTACCTGTCTTTGTAGTCTCATCTTCCTCGCCATTCTGAGTCTTCTGCATTCCAGCTACACTGGCCTTCTTTCAGTGTCTAATAGGGTACTTGTCTTCTATCACTGGGCCCTTCTCCATGTTGCCTCTCCTGTAATGCTTTTACTCCCCTTCACCCAGCTGGCTCCTATTCATCCTTTAGATTTAAGCCTCTCTATTCTAAAAACTGCAACACACAATCACAGTAAGAAATATGTTCTATTTAAATATCTCAACATTTAAACATTGTATACCATCTTTAGTATACTACTGATCTGAACACAGAACAGGACTGGAACTATAGCAACTTTATTTTTCAAAAGAAATTATAAAATGGGAAGAAAATTTACTTTAGGATGTAAACTGCTGTTACTTCCCACCTGTAACCTCAAAATAATAAAGTAACATTTGATACTCAAAACTCTGATTACTGAATTCTAACAAATATAAGGCTCTCAAAATTTGTCTTATAAAACAGTTTTGCCCAGGTTGGTGTGATTCAGTTGGTTGGAGTATGGTTCAGTAAACTGAAAGGTCACAGGTTCAATTCCTAGTCAGGGCTCATGCCTAGGCTGGAGATTCAGTGCCTGGTTGGGGCGTGTATGAGAGGCATCTGATCCATGTTTCTCTCTCTCCCTCTGCTCCCGTCTTAAGAATCAATAAGCATGTCCTCAGGTGAGGATAAAAAGTTTCAGATTATTCATAAACAAAAATGCTCAGAAGAAATTTAAGGGGTTTCCCTAAGGATACGTTTACAAGCAGGTGATGCTGCTGCATATTTCAGGCAGCATAATTTGCTGTTGTTTTTGTTGTTTGGAATGTCTGTGTTATAGGCTGTTTAGTATGCCAGCCTCTACCTTTTGCATATATTCATCCAAGCAAGTGCCACATTCCATCATCTGGTATTGTGACAAATAAATGTATCAAAACACTTCCATGGGGGCCCTTGCCAGGTAGCGCAGTTGGTTAGAGCATCGTCCCCACACACCAAGGTTGTGATCCTGGTCGGGGCACACACAAGAACCAACCAATGAATGCATGAGTAAGTGGAAGAACAACTAGGTGTCCCTCTACCTCTCCCTTTCTCCCTAAATCAGGCTGATTCTTGTTTTTGTTTGTTTGTTTGTTGTTTTTAAACATTACCTTGGGAAGAAAAAAAAAGAGGGACATAATTTAGCCTTTATACCAATACCTCCTATGGAATAACAGAATCAGATAGGTCTGAGGAATCACAGCAGGTGTTTTGATGGAAGCTTTAAGAATTTTTTTCTTCATTTTCTTTGTAAGAAAAGAAAAAGTTCTTTTCATATTTTGAGGCCAACACAGTCTATTCCACAGAGAACAACAAATGTTAGTGAAAAATAAAGGCAAGGCTTTGCTGTCATAGAAAGAACAGAATAGAAGCAAAGGGAAAACACACAAAAGATGTATTAGTGAAACAAGTTCTAAATGTTCAGCACTGCCTATGAGATGCACACAGAACTACTGGTGGCAACGAGATGGAGTAGCTCATTTGAGATTTTGAGTCTTAAGGACTGTTACAGATAATTTAAGAAAACAGTGGGAATTCGGATCACTTTCTGTTTCTACAGAGGAAGTGCAAAAGAATCTAAACAGAAATTGGGAGAAAAGGATAAAAAGTTGGAAAGCTCCAAAATATTTCTTAGAACCTATCTTTTACCTTTACTAGACTTGAGACAAATGTAGATTTTTTCTCAGTTACAAATATAGGATACAATTTAAATCAAATTTCTAATTACACTTTTATCATTTAACTGTTTTTCTTCTGGGAGGGATTACTTTTATAAAATCAAGTCAATCAGTAAATACTCACCGACTGTTGGCTCCTTCTCCAGCCACAAACCGCTTCTGAGGATATTTGTCTTTAAGTTGTTTTAAAGTCATTTTCTTATGGGCTACAACCCAGACGTCACCACCTTTTCCACCTTCTCCACCTAAACGAGGATAGCCCATTCCTCCACTTCCTCCCCTGGTGAACAGTCTTAGGTTATCAACGAAGTTTCCATACTTAAAAAGAGAGGGAGAGAGAAAGAGAACATCTGTACACCAAGTGTGTTTACCGATTTAGAACTCCTTTCTAGCTCTTTGTTGCCACTAAAATGCCTCAAGTCGTCAGTAATGACTTCCTGTATGCCAAATTTAGTCTTTTCTCAGTTCATCTCCTGTCTTTTTTACATTAAACTCTTATCCCGCCCCCCTTCTTTCCCCAATTATCAATTGTGGTCCCACATATCCTCAAGATCTCTGACACTGGTCCACTTTTCAATCTAGACTGCCTCCCCTGGGTGACCTCAGCCTGTATCAGTAACTATCACCTAGGTGAGATATTTTCTAGGTCCAGTCTGTTGGACATCACCAGGATGTAAGGTTAACAGTCTAAACCAACTGAGAACAAGATTTGTACTTAACTTATATCTGAAATCCCTCAAATATGTAACTTGTTCATGAGTACTGATAAGTCATTTCAAATATGAGTTAATATGACAAAACCAAACTTTTCCTTAGGTAAAGTCTGTTCCACCAATGTCCTTTCAAATAAAGGAACCATAGTTTCCTATTCATTGAGTATGGGAATCTTTCACTAACCTGCTTCTCCCCTCAACGGCACCCCACCCCCTGAAGTCCTAGTTCTTTCCTTCTTGGTATAAACTGCCCTAGTATCTTAGCCAGTCTATATTCAAAGCCCTTGAGCTACCCTCAGTTCTGCTTCCATTTGTTCAGTCCCTCCTGCATCCTCTTCCTCTTTTGCTCTGTTCATGTTATACTTTCACATTTCCATGCCACTCTGCTCACACTTTTCCTCTACTTATGTCATTTGTTCTTTTTCCTTATTCTATTATCCCAATTTTTCACCCTTTGCCCTCCTCTGCCCAGTTTGCCCCCTTCATTTGTTCTCTTCTGTCATAAACCCACTTAAATGTCATATTTGCTGATGTCTCTATTTTTTCATTGATTTTTTCCATTACCATTTGTCCCCTTTATACACCCCACCCACCCACCAACCCTCCATGATGTCTTTCTTAATTCCTCTAATCAACACTTACCGTCAACTTTGCTGGGCTCTTAGCAATTTGATTATTATCTATTAATACACTTTTTAAAATCTCATATTTTTGTTACCCTCATTAAGTCAACACCTTCTTGCAGGTAAAGAATCTATGTATTAACTTCTCAGACCATGGAGATTCTTTGGAGTAATTTCTTAAATTCATAATTTTCACATCTTTAGTCATTTGAGATAGTTGTAAAACAAATACCTGGAAACACTATGCAAAATACATATGCTCCACTGACCATTCTGATATAATCTGGAGGGGTGGATGAGGATGGGGCAAGCCAGCACACTTAGCAAAAGCTCTAGGTCCAGTCTGTTGGACAAATCCAGGACATCACTGCACACTTAGCAAAAGCTCCCTCAGTGATTCTGATGCGGCCTAGATCTAATATTGCAGTGGATGGGTCCCAGCAAAGAATCTAAGTGTGGGATTCATTTAAGTATGTAAATGTAGTCATGAAGCCATGTTGTATGAGAACAGGATGGGAAGAATACATAAAAGATAAATGTGAGAGCCAACCAGAGTATTTTTCTCTGGGAGTGAAGAACTTCTTGGGTTATGCAAGGCTAGATCAGAAAAGCATCACATGCAAGTAAAGAGACAGATTCCACTTGCAAACGACATTGACTGGAAGTGACTTTCAATGACAGTAAGGCTACACAAGTAGTCTTTAATAACTTATCCACAAAAAAAATGCAGTTTATAAATCTTTACTGTCCTGGATTGATCAAATTCAAAGATTTAGAACCCAAACTTAAAAAAGTATCTCAAGCTCCTCATCGGTGACAGGGTAATGGCTAAACTGATGCCGGCTAGTTTCAAAAGATGTTACTAGTAAGGCTCTAAGAGAGGCCTTGAAATTTGAAGCAACTGTAAATTTTTTACAGAAACAATTCTAAAACTGACCTAAATTTCTCGCAAGAAGGCAAGCCTATTATTACGTATGTTCATCTATTGATGAAAATCGTTTTTAGAAAGCTCTTAAAAACAATGCACTCAAGGAAAAATATACGTAGATGTAAATGGACTACGGATACTATTACTGAAAAGGGAAATACACCGTTTGAGCCAAGAGAAAAAGCAAACCTATACTCCACGTACACCATATTGCACGTCTAAGAGCAGGCAAGTATCCCAGCTCTGCATCCCACGTGCACACAATTCCACAAGGAAACGTCACACTATGTACCCAAACAACCGTCCTAACCAGGCGGGATAGACCCCCTCCCCACCCCCCACCGGTCAACCCCGACTCCTGCAGGGGCGGAGATAAGATTGTGGTAGAAAAAAAGCAGGAAAGAGGCCCCCTAATAGAAAAAGTTGGGAGGCACAGAAGGAGCACCAGCGTCCCCAGGTGGGGCTAGAAGCACCTGGCCCTCGGGATTCGAGCGACGGGCACGATTCACGGACCTTTCTGAACAACGCGCAACTGCAGTGCACCATGACTGCTCTGGGCCCGGATTCACTCCCGCGGACCGCGTACACACAGAAACACCGCGCGGCCTTCTCACGTCACCGTGGGACGCAGGCGCTGTTTTCGCTGCGCGCTCCCGCGGGCAGAGCTGCCGGTGCCTTGCAGTGTACGCGCATGCGCTGTGTGATGAGCCCTACCAGGGTGAAAGGTATCTATTTGTTTACGCGAAAACAGCCTAAAACTAAGAAAATGTCGAGAGCACCGTGGCCAGGATCAGTGGGATGTAGAGTGTATACTCTACATTTAACATTTTGAGTGGAAACGTTTTGTGTTTAGCTGCCTCGGAGGAATTTTTTTGCTAATTTAGGAAACCATAAAGTACTTCAGTCTGAATGAAAAACAACAGAACTACGATAATAAAACCAAACTCGTGGAAGAAAGACAGAAATTCAGGGGCCTGAGAAAGCTGTTAGCTCACTGGCAAGTTGAGTGATCTCTAGCAAAAATTTCCAGGAGACAATTTAAAACTTGTGACACAAGTGTCAGGATCTGAGAATTGCGTTGTACGAACTGGGGAAGGAAACTTGGAATTGTTTTGCCACAAAGTAGCTTCTTGGAGTCGTGTAGCTGAGGGTCTTTATCGAATTGCCATCTGAAACGCGCCTTTGACAGAATTAGAGATTACCTTTCCCTAACCTGGCTTGGCAGATGGGTCTGCTCCCCTCACCTTTCCCCAGGTCCTCGTGCGGTGAAAAATGCTCACAGCCATAGTGGGCGAACCTGCACTGCACTGCCAGTCTTAAAATCTTCCTTAACCACCAAGACTGTTAATTTCTACAGGCCTTTTCACCTTTTTACCCGTTGTTTATTGCAGATTCTTTGGAAATACACAACGTGAAAACTGGCTTGAATCCTTTGCTGCTACTGAACCTCCCTCTTCCCCACCAGTTCATAAAGCTGTGATTGCCACTTAACCTGTAATGATTAATTAATCAGGACATTAGGTTGTTACTGTGTAAATGTTTAATCTTGAAAACATTTGCTGCCTTTTGGACACATGGCAAATGTCAAAACAGAATTGGGGCAATTACCTTTTGACCCTAAACATTGACCATCGTGATTAAGTTAAATGAGAAAACTAACAAATATAGATGCTTTCTACAATGTTTGGCGTTGAAACTAGGATGAGATGATTGAAATAACAATGTCTTCTTATTTCTAAGTATCAGTTTGATGACTATTATTACTCATAAGTGTCAAGCAAAAGCTTACTAACCTGCTGTTGTTTAGCTTTGCCTAATATTTTTTGGCGCTGGAAATGTTCAACTGTACTTCTGTTAAAGAATCAAGGCACGGGCCCTGACTGGCATAGCTCAGTGGATTGAGCGCGGGCTGCGAAACAAAGTATGGCAGGTCCGATTCCGAGTCAGGGCACATACCTGGGTTGCAAGCCACGGTCCCCAGCAACCGCACATTGATGTCTCTCTCTCTTTCTCCCTCCCTTCCCTCTCTAAAAATAGGTAAGTAAAATAATAATAAAAAAAGAAGGCACACAACAAATTTCGTGCATGAAATGAGACTTCCTTTCAGTGTATGAGTTTAAAGCAAGCCCAAATAATACATGACAAACTGTAGTTAATACTGATATTTGTGTTAATTTTGCAGTTGAGCTTGATAAGAGTGCACTGTGATGGAATTTCTTCTTTAACATTTTATAATCTTTTTCTTGTCTTTTTGTGGGTTCAAGAGCCTGTTGACTTGTGAAGAATTTGCTGCCTTCTTATGAGCTTGCTGACTTGTCTCTTATGAAATTTCTTGCACATCTGAATATTGTGGAAGAAACAATAAAACTGCACCATGAAGAAAACTAAAAATAAAAATTAAAAAAAAACATTTGCTGTTTTTTTGTATTATCATCTTTACTACTAGGTCTTCTTATGTCAGAATTGTATTAACCCCAATATATTTATTTATTTTCTAAGGTTTTATTTCTTATTAGTGAATACAAGCCCACATTGTTTTCTTTCCCATTTTATATATAAACATGATAACAGAAAATAAAATGTAAATGGGAAATGGATATAAAACAATCTCAAAATAAAGGAATAATTATATTTTTCTTGAACAAAATGTGATCATGGCCTGAAGTATTTATTACAGCTCTGGTCACCAGATAGTAAAAGAAACATGAGCCTAGAACTTGTCTCCTTTAAAATGTGTGGCTAAGCCCTGGCTGGCGTAGCTCAGTGGATTGAGCGCGGGCTGGGAACCAAAGTGTCCCAGGTTCAATTCCCAGCCAGGGTACATGCCTGGGTTGCAGGCCATAACCCCCAGCAACCGCACATTGATGTTCCTCTCTCTCTCTCTCTCTCTCTCTCTATCTCCCTCCCTTCCCTCTCTAAAAATAAATAAATAAAATCTTTAAAATACATAAATAAATAAATAAAATGTGTGGCTAAAATGAAGATGAGGTGAAATGACCCAAGGTATTATCCAACCTGAAGCAGAAGTCTTTATTAAAGAAAATACTGCCCTGGCTGGCGTAACTCAGTGGATTGAGCTCGGGCTACAAACCAAAGCATCGCAGGTTCAATTCCCAGTCAGGGCACATGCCTGAGTTGCGGGCCAGGTCCCCAGTGGGGACCACATGAGAGGCAACCACACATTGATGTTTCTCTCTCTCTTTCTCCCTCCCTTCCAGTCTCTAAAAATAAAAAAATAAAATATTTTAAAAAAGAAAATACTACTACTTCTGCCATTGAGAGGAGAGAATGCCTTCGCCATTGTTGCTCAGAAGATTAAAGTACAGTCAAACTATTAAACTTAGTGGCTGTAAAGAATTTTGCATACTAGGCAAGAGAGTCCCAAATGAACCACTGGCATAAGTCACAATTTGATTTAAAAATGTTTAATATAAAATAGTTATTCTAATTTAAAACATCTTTAAATAAGCATTTATTTTGGAATAAATTTAAATTTACAGGATAGTTATAAAGGTAGCCCAAAGGTTTCCCATAGACCCTTTATTCCACTGTAAACATCTCATATAACCATTTGTGAAAACTAGGAAAATAATGTTGGTACAATACTAGTAACTAAACTACAGACTTCATTTCATCTCACTAGTATTTCAACTAACTATAACCTTTTTCTGTTCCAAGACCCATTCCTGGACACTACATTACATTTAATCTAATAAACATTTTAGTATAATTATTTTAAGAATAAAATGAATAAACATATAATTCAGAAATCTAATATTTTATGATGTTAAACTGTCTGTTTTGTCAGCAGGCTAAAAGGAAAGTTGTCTAATTTGATTCTCTCCTTTGTAGGTTATGTAAATTGATCTTGAAGCCTTCTCACCTTCTTAATTAGATCTCCACTTTTTGTCTATCATGCTTTGGTCCTGCTTGTCCAACATAGAGGAGTCAATATAAATAGGTTAGAGAGACCGTAAGTGAAACAGCAGAGGTAGAGTTTGTCCTCAGTTTCGTACCACTCTCTCTGGTGTTCATTTACTTTCTAGAAGTGACAGGGTCCTCCCCTCCGCACCAAAAACCCACTTCCCAGGGCTCACAAGGGAACTCATAAAGTGGACTTTCTTCCCTGGTAGGCATCTTTAGTTTACTTTTTCTTTACTCTCATGTCAAAACTTACCCAGCCATACTTTATTTTGAGTACATTAGCAAGGAGTGCTGAGACAATCTAACTAGTTGAAAGTGTCAAGATGTTTCTAGGTGACCCTGACCAATGGGGCTCAGTTGCTTGGACGTCATCCTGCAAAGCAAACGTTGCTGGTTTGATTCCCGGATGGGGCACAGGCCTGGGGTGTGGGTTCCATCCCCGATTGGCCGATCAATGTTCCTCTCTTAAATCAATGTTTTTTTTACCCTCTCTTTCTCTCTCCCTCTAAAAATAAATAAATAAAATCTTTAAAAAAAAGATGTTTCTAGGTGGCATCAGCATAATGTTACTCCTTAAAAATAACTGCCTACTAAGCAGCTTCTGGTTAC